CGGGTTGAAATAAAATCAAAAGAGTTTTTGGTTAAAAATTAAGAAGAACTTTCTGACAATTAGAGCTGTTCCTCAGTGGAACAGGCTGCCTTGGGAAGTGGTGGGCTCTCCTTCTTTGGAGGTCTTCAAACAGAGGCTAGATGGCCATCTGACAGCAACGCTGATTCTGTGAATTTAGGCAGATCACGAGAAGGGAGGGCAGGAAGGGTTGCCTCAGTAGTTAGTCCTTGTGGCCCTTTCTGACACCCCCAGGGAAATGCTGATCGCCACTTTGGGGTCAGGAGGCAGTTTTTCTCCAGGCCAGTTTGGCTGGAGATCCTGGAGGGTTTTTGCCATCTTCTGAGCACGGAGGAGGTAGTTGTGCATTTCCTGCATTGTGCAGGGGGTTGGACTAGATGACCCTGGAGGTCCCAACTCTATGATTCTATGATTCTACTACTACCACCAACAGCAGCAGCAGCAACACTACTACTAGTAGTACGGGTAGTAGTAATAGAGTTAGTAGTAGTGCCATTTCTACAACTTTTTGGCTTCTCTGTGGGTGATGAAAGCTACCAAATCCAGATCAAGGTTGTTGGGGTCCTCTTCATACTTGAAGGACTCCCTCAGTATGCAGAAAAAATATGACTTTATAATTTATCCCAAAGGAAGAAGCGGGGGAAAGACGGTCCATTGACTTAAAATTGCTCCAGAAGGGACAAAATATGTCGGACAGCTGAATGCCACTGGAGTACTCATAGAAGGCTGGAGGGGGGGGAGAGATTTGGAGGGGATGGGATGGGGTGGGGTGGAATTTGCAAACAGTACCTACTGCCCCAGTTTCACCCGTTAAAGCTTTGTGATGTATCTATGCCAATAGAAAGCCAATGGAAATGGAGACTGGGGGACTCACCTGCTCCTTCCACCTCCTCAGTTCAGACAGCCTCTTGGCCTTCATGCTTTCGTAGGCACTGATGGCGTTCCACGGGACCGACTTGTCCTGGCCAACGGGAAACATCAGCTGGTAGTTGAACAGTTGGTCAGCTGTTAGTTCAGAGCGTTGGGTGGGCACGTCCTCTGGTTCTACAGAGTCTAAAGGGGAACAAAGGACACAGTTCAGCGAGGTCTCGCCCAGGAGAAAGGTCTCGCCCATTTATCCCCCAAGACCTTTTCATCAGAGACCAAGAGGACAAAGTTCTGAAGCTAGAACAGACAAAATGGCGGCTGGGGAGCAGAGCTGCGGAACCTCCCGGAAGCTCCAGGAAAGAACCACTGAGGAGTCACCACAAGAGGAGCCATTCCTCCCACCAGTGGAAAAGAAGCCTTTCCTGGGAGAGCTCTGAGGAGACTGTTGTGTCAAGGAAGTAGTAGGGTTGCCAATCTCCAGGTGGGGCCTGAAGCTCTCCCAGAATGACATCTGATCGCCAGAACCACAGAGACCAGTTCTCCTGGAGAAAAAATGGCTTCCTCGGAGGGTGGGCTCTATGGCACTGTACCTTCCTGATGTCCCCCTACTCCCAAACCTCCAGGAACTTCCCATCCCAGAGTTGGCAACCCTGGAGGGGGTGGGGTTGTACTCAGAATTCAACTTCTTACATTTCTTCCATATTAAAAAAAACCCACACAAGTTTCCAGTCCATATAGCTGTCCAATGTGTGGGAAACACCTCAAAAGCCACAGAAGTGGTCAGAAAGGAGGAGCTTTTAGAGATGCCACCCTCCAGGTGGGACCTGGGGATCCCCCTGGATTACAGCTCATCTCCAGACTACAGAGATCAGCTCCCCTGGAGGAAACAGATTCATTGGAGGGTGGGCACCATGGTTTTGTACCCCACTGAGGTCCCTGTCCTCCCCAGGCTCCACCCCCAAATCTCCAGGAGTTTCCCAGCCTGGATCTGGCAACTCTGTGGCCCCTCCATCTCCTGCCAGAGAAGAAGAAGAAGAAGAAGAAGAAGAAGAAGAAGAAGAAGAAGAAGAAGAAGAAGAAGAAGAAGAAGAAGAAGAAGAAGAAGAAGAAGAAGAAGAAGAAGAAGAGATGTATTTAATCCCCCCCCCTTCACTACCCAAAGGAGTCTCAGAGCATCTTACAAACTCCTTTCCCTCCCCCTCCCCACAACAGGCACCCTGCGAGGTAGGCAAGGCTGAGAGAGCTCTGGCAGAAACTGCTCTTTTTCAAGAACAGCTCTTATCAGAACTATGGCTTGCCCAAGGTCATCCAGCTGGTGCAAGTGGAGGAGTGGGGAAGCAAACCCGGTTCTCCCAGATTAGAGTCCGCGCACTTAACCACTACACCAAACTGGTGGGGCCGAGATAGCTCTTTTAAGGACTGCTCTTGAGAGAACGGCTCTGAGAGAACTTGTAACTGACCCAAGGTCACACCAGCAGCTCCATGTGGAGGAGTGGGGAATCAAACCCAGTTCTCCCAGATTAGCATCTGCGCACTTAACCACGACACCAAACAGGGAGTACCTGGCCACCCTACTTCAGTTACCTGAAACAGCTCCCTTTCCCTGTCCACAAGGATTAACAAGAGCAAAAGAAATGGTCAGAAATAACAACACATCGCAGAATCCATAACGCTCAACAAGATGGTCCACCCACAAACATAATATTTCTACGTTTCAAAACTTATCTTTCCTAGTCACAGAATTTAGGTTACGTCGGTGCAAACTCCTGTGCACAGGCAGCAATAAAGGCCGCAGGGTTTATTAAAAGGTATCTACCAAGTAGTAGTCGCTTCAAAGAAATCCGAATGACACAGAAGAGCCCAGAGGCCCTTTCTAAGTGAAACTTGACCGAGAGCTTCCAAATACTGCCACACCAACCACACCTCTTGACCAACGCTCCCTCTAAGCTGTGGAGTCTTGTGGGCAAAAATTCCACTTTGTGAGCTACTGGCATTAAAGTTGTGAGCGAGCCATTTGGCTGCTGCATAGATCAGTTTGCTCTGGGGCCAGCCTTCCAGAGCTGAGACAAAAATGTGCAAGCTGAAGGCTAAAAAACTGTGCGCTAGCTCACACTAGCTCAGCTTAGCGGGAACACTGCTCTTGACCCATTCCCCCTTTTTTTACCGGGCCTGCCTCCCCTATGCCCAGAGATAATCATTCCCAAAACCAGCTGGCATGAATGGAGGAGGATGTAGGTCAAGGATGTACAAGAAACAGAGATCCACATTGACCCCACGTTTCACTGCGGCCTGAAAGCGTGTGACTGACTGTGGAAGGGATGGAACTCACTGCCTTTCACAGTAATCATTCCCAAACCCAGCTGGCGTGAATGGAGGAGGATGTAGCACCCACGCCGTAGGTCAAGGATGTACAAGAAACAGAGATCCACATTGACCCCACGTTTCACTGCGGCCTGAAAGCGTGTGACTGACTGTGGAAGGGATGGAACTCACTGCCTTTCACATCAGTGTGACGCCCAAAAAGATTGGACGAGGAGTAAAGAGCCCAAGCAAGCGGCGTTCCTTAAGGGCTCCCGGAACTCCACGTGATGTGAGCCACTGTGGCTTTATGCTTTCTCAGCTTTATGCCGGACAACTAAGAGACATCACCAAACAATGTGGGAGAACGAGAGACAGAAAGCAAACTAGCCACAGCTTTAGAAAATGTGTCCAACTTACGGGCAGCGTGTGCCCAAGAGCGGAGAGCATCTCGGCTGACATCAGTCCCTTGAGTGCCATACGATCCCCCCACAGTAGGGTTGCTACTTTAAAAACAAACATGCCCCTTTTCAGAGCCAGCCTGACGTGCAGAAACGAAGAGGCTGCAGACGTACAGTATGCAGATTCAGAGATGTCCCAAAAGCAGGCCAGTCTCTTCTTGTTTCGTTTTAAAAAAAGCAGCCTCCGGCATTTTAATTTCCTTACACCTCTGCCGTGACTTTCACATGCAAATCCTATTCTGTTCAGCTGCAAAGAAGGCAGCATTTTACTGGGGAGATATCCCTGTGTTAAGGGGGGTGCCTTCTTCGGAGCCGGCTGGTTAGTCTGACAAGCACAGCAGCTCTCGAAGGTCTCCCCCCGATGTCTGTCCCAGCCAACGCTCCCTCTAAGTGGTGGAGTCCTGTGAGCAAAAATTCTACGTTGTGAGCTCCTGGCATTCAAGTTGTGAGCGAGCAATTTGGCTACTGCCTAAATTAGTCTGCATCCTTCCTGAGCGGAGACAAAAATGTGTGAGCCGGAGGCTAAAAAAACTGTGAGCTAGCTCACACTAACTCAGCTTAGAAGGAACACTGGTCCCAACCCAACAACCTTGCAGCCCTCAGAGACCAAACCTGCTAATTTCTGCATGGGTGCACTGCACACACACACACACACACACAAACACAAACACACTATGCTTCCTGAAAAGGAATGTTGTCACCTCTGCTCATCAAGCTCAGCCTTGTGACAGCCCAATAACCTCCCGAGCTGTTCAAAATCTGAGCCTCCCCTGTGGCATTCCACCACGCCCACTGTGAGAGACCAGCTCCTGTGGCAGATCTCGAACTCGTATCCCCGCAGGCGAGGGCCCTGGGAAGGACACATCACAAACCACGGCACTGGAATTACCTGTCGCTTCCGTCGTGTCGGCGGCGCTGAGGCAAGTGCCCTGCCCGTGGAGGAGGGCGTGGAGCGGCTTGGCCTCCCCGGGGCGCACCCGGCAGCGGAGTCCTTGACCACACTGCGCCGTGTACACGCCACAGGCCTCCCCTTGCTGGAGTGCGCAGGTGTGGCAGCAGCCGCAGCCCGGCTGGCGGGCCGGCTGGGGGCAGCCGGCCGGCACCGGCGGGCACAGTGCAAGCTTCTCCTCGGTGCAGGGGGCACAGTGGATGGCGTGGAGAGCGGCGCCAAGGTGGACGCTGGGGCAGAGGAGGAAGAGGAGCACCTCACAGTACAGGCCTGGAGACCGCATGGCGAAGAAGGACACCCCCCCAAGAGCCGGCTGAGCTTCGAGAGGGAGCACGGGGCTGTTGACTCACGTTCGGCATGCCCTGTGTTTCCAAACATGGCCCATTTATACAGTCCCTCGCCAGTCCATTAATCTTTAACCCCCACCCCCCCGAGTTAACTATTATCTGAGCAGGAGGGGCAGAGAAGCGTCATTTCATTGGCAGTCCACGTCCCTCCCTCCCCAGCTCAACCCCCCTTTTGTAATGATGAAATACATACATCACTCTCCCATTCTCTCTTAACCTTTTGACTGTGTGTCTCGAGGAAGAGGGAGGGGTTTCCCCCCCCTGAAAAGGCCTTCCTCTCTGGATGTTCCATAAAAAAATAATAATGTTTCATTGAGAAAAGGGAGGGGGGGCAGGGAACCCTTTCGGAAACCTCGGGAGCTGACTCCATCCTTCGGAAGGCGAGAAGTGCCCCCCCTCCTCCGGTTGTTGTTGTGGTTTTGTGTTTGTTTTTTTTGTTTAAAAGTTTTGTGTGTGTGTCATGTGTCATGTGGCGGGAGGTTATGGGGACAATGACATGCCAGGAGCGAGGCCCCCAGAGGGTAATCAAAGGCCCTCAGATCCCGTAATTCCTGGACACAGCACGTAGGAGCCTAAAGTCAACACTCGACTTGAAAGGATTGTTCGGGGATGGTTTCCGGTGGATGTACTTGTGCGAAAGCACAGCTCCAACGGCGAGCCCCCCCCCCCGAGGGCGCCGGGGAGGGACCAGGGTCAGGCACCCAACTCCCAAGGAAGGAAGGCCACCTTCTCACAGCCGCCCCTCCTCCCCACCGTCGTTGAGGGATGCCGGCCTCCAGGCGGGCCCTGGGGATCCCCCGGAATGACGGCTCATCTCCAGACTACAGAGATCAGTCGCCCTGGAGAAAATGAAGACTTTGGAGGGGGGAATTGCATGGCACTGTACCCCGCTGAGGTCCCCGTCCTCCTCAGGTTCCACCTCCAAATCTCCAGGAGTCCCCCAGGGTTCCTGGTGCAGGGGACACCCTTCGGAAACCACCCCTGTTCAATGTTCCCTCTAAGGTATGGAGTCTTGTGAGCAAAAATTCTACTTTGTGAGCTACTAGCATTAAAGTTGTGAGCGAGCAATTTAGCTGCTGCATAAATCAGTTTGCTCTGGAGCCCTCCTTCCTGAGCGAAGACAAAAATGTGTGGGCCAGAGGCTAAAAAACTGTGAGTTGGCTCACACTAACTCAGCTTAGAGGGAACACTGCCCCTGTTCCCACTTACTCAGGAGGGAGACCCAGGGAAGTCCTTCTGAGGACACACGCTCAAGTTCCGGCTGAGGCGAGGCCCTCTCAGGAGAGAAACTGCCTTTCGGTACAGGACCCAGCTGATACTTCGAAAAGAAGCGGACACTTCGAAAAGAAATATTTGATAGCATTAATATAGCAGACCATCTGGGCAATATTAACAAGAAAGACACCAGGGCCCCGGTCACGTGGGCCAGATAATGCGGGGGGGGGCGTGGCTGTTTGCCCCGGAGCAAAATAAAGCGTGGCAGCCCGATCACACGGTCCCCCGAGTCTCTGCGCTTCGGCTGTTAGCTGGCGATCACACGGCGATGCTGGAGCATGGCAAAGGAGTGGCAAAGGGGGGAGCGTTTCGCGTTTGTGTGCATGTGCAGTTCCGCGGAGCAGCACTGCTTTCAGTTATGGGTTTGTGCACATGCACTTACGAAAGACATCCGGTTTGCGACGGGCCGTGGACGGGCGCTGGATGCCACGGGATACTAGTGCTCCCGCGATCGGACCCCCGCCCCGTGTTTTCCAGATACTAGTGCACTTTCTGCGGTACTTTTTTACTGCGCATCTTCGGCGGGACGCCACAGGTTGGCCACGGGTGCGCTACACTTCCCAGATGTTGTGGTGTGATCGCGCCCCGAAAATCCACCTGACGTTCGTGCCTTTAGCGCTGCAAATCCTCCGTGTGACCGGGGCCCAGGAAATGTTTTGCAAAATCAGTCCTGGCTATTCACTTTTCACAGTTTCCCCCCCTCTTCCATCCAATGAGCTCCTGGTGACTTGCCTGCTTCTTGCCTCCGTAGAACGTAAGGGTGTAAGAGAAGCCAATGTTGGGTCAGGCCAATGGCCCATCCGGTCCAACACTCTGTCACACAGTGGCCAAAAATACCAGTTGCCATCAGGAGGTCCAGCAGTGGGACCAGGACACCAGAAGCCCTCCCACTGTTGCCCCCCCCAAGCACCAAGAATACAGAGCATCCCTTGCCCCAGAGTCCTCTCTATACCTTGTGGCTCATAGCCACTGATGGACCTCTGCTCTTCTGTTTTTTCCCCTTACAACAACGTTGTGAGGTAGGTTAAGCGGAAAGAGAGAATGACTGGATCAACGTCATCCCATGTGCTTCACGAGACAGCAGGGATTCCAGCCCAGGTCTTCTGCAGGGCCGGCCCCAGCTTATTTTGCACACTAGGCGAGGATCCCTTCTGGTGCCCCCCCCCCCGTGCGCCCACCAATTTTCAAAATAAATGCATTTTAGGAAGAATGAAAAACACAAATAATCAAGAAACTTCCAGAGTACGGGGCCGGGTTCAGTTTGGCACCCCTAAGGGCCGTCCCGCTCTAGGCGATCGCCTAGTTCGCCTAGTGAGTGAGCCGGCCCTGGTCTTCTGGGTCCCAACCCAGCGCTCTAACCACTGCGCCACCCTGACTCTTAAAAGCCGGACCATTGCCTTTGCAGGGTTTTCTCTTCAAGCACTTAGAGTGCTACATGTGAGATAGGTAAAGGGATGAAAGCAGGGTCCCTCGGAGTTTTAAAGTACTCAGACTGCATTC